AAGAGGACTTTGTCATTCTGCTCTGACAGGAATGACCCACATTCTCGAACGATGTCTCGCATCGTTCCTACTTTATCCCCAACTTCATCTAGCTCTTTCACGAAATAGGCCAATTCGTACGTCTCAAGAGGTCTTGGTGATGTCAGCACGACCCCGAGCACAAACTTGTAAAGCTTCGATTCCGGCTCATCTAAGCTCTGAACTTGCTGGAGCATCCTTCCATACAATTGTTCGAGTCCAGGAGGGAAGGCCTGCATGTCCTTTTCATAGAACACGCGTTTCGAGAGCTCCAACCTCTTGCAGACTAGCGCTACCCATAAGAAGGTCCCTCCGGCGTTCTTCTTCAGGTAGTCGCGGATCGTTTCGGCATTCGATGGACCCAATCTCTTCTTATCAGTCAACGCTTTGACTTTGTGTTCGATGTAGGTATCGACCGCATCAAGTATGGCTTCGGATTTGGGATCGAGTCCAAGATGAAGCATTTGAGGATGCTCAGTAAGCACATCGCGAATATCGTTCCAGCCGCGTGAGGAAATTATCCACTTGGTGTGTGGTAGCTTTCTTGAAATCTGTACAATCAGTTCCAAGAGTCTTCTACGATCGTCCTGGTCGATGCATTCGTCCATTGCGTCTATGATGAGGAAGATGCTTTGATGTTGTATGTATGGGTCGTCCAGCATACTGGTAATGATCCCGGATAAAGCCGTCCATGTATTTGCGTCGGCAAATAACTTTTCGCCCACGCGATCATATTCCAGCCGTACATAGCGTACAAGTGAGGGCTGCTGACCGATCAAATGATGAATGAGACCACGTAAGACTGCCGTCGCGTTGTTGTTGTTCGGTTCCGATGTCTGGCAGAAGAAGTAAGATATGAGATCATCCGCCGCCACGGTTTGTTCGAGTGCGTCAATGATTCCGCACATAAGCATGGTTTTGCCTTGACCGGGTGAACTAGAAGTTATTAGCACGTATTCCGCATCAAACCACGTCAACCTAGGGAAAACCTGAACAGGTCTGGAGCCTACATCGACGCCAGGCCACCTATCTTGTATGCTTTGATGTTGATGTAGGCTGCAGACCTGTTCAGTTTTTCCCTTATATGAGGAGAAACCACGACATCGAATGCTGCTAACTCACCCTTCAACCCAGAGTAATCGCTCTTCACGGTCATCCCGCCAACGCCGATACTCCGCATTGTCAAGTATCCATCGGAAAGAGGCATCCAATAATCCTCCTTTTCCATGTTCGAGCCGTTTTTTGTCGTGACTGGGGTTCGTCAGGAACAGGTCTTGGAGACACTTGCTGTCCGCGGCACTCTTCGTATACGCCAGGGAGTGCGCCGTTTGTTCCTGGATACTCGTCACAATGTTATGCAGGCTGATGTCCTGTGACTCGGCTTTCTCCGCGATAGTTTCGAGTTGGTTGCGCATTTCATGCGTGTTGAACTGAGCTGCATCTTGGCGTATCGATTCTTCCATCTCCTTGATGGCAACCAGCTCACCTTCCCAATCATCCCACTTGACAAGGTCTCTTGCAAAAACAGTGCCACGTTTGCGATGATATGTAATGATACTTTTGATCTGGTATGCCAGAAGACGAGTGTAAAGGTCGACGAGATTCTTCTCGAGTTGATCTTGCAGCGGCTGCGATCGTCGGGCTTCTTGGTTTCTCTCTAGGAGAAGATCAGCTAGATGCCAGTACCAATCCATCCTCGATACGACGTAAGCGATTCCATCTCTATTAGAAGACTGTTGGGTGAGTGGATTCATAAGTATCTGACATGCATCAGCCATGTGCTTGCATCATCAAAGTTCGCCAGCCGTACATCAAGAGCAAGGCAGATCGGTACCCAAGCTATAGAGGCTTCTGGAGAAGCTCTGGTAGCTGTTGCGACGCTATCCTTGACGACATTGAACACCTGCAGGCCTTGCGCGAGTGCTTCGTTAGTCGCAGCTGCCTTCTCCGTCCTGAGCAATCCAGAGTCAACGAGCTGTCGCATCTGCAGTGATCTTGGCTGCCCTTGGCTGATCTTGTTGATCTGTGTATCGAGGTCCACGGCCTTAAGCTCTTGTCCATCAATTTGGCTTGATAGGATGCCCTCATAGTGTTCGATCAGTTTCGGATCCTTTGATTTGAGCTGGTCGTATGCCAGGTTCCATAGACGTCCGGATAAGCTCTCCGCTACCAGTTCTGGGGTGCTGGTGCTCGTTGACTGTAGATTCGTCGTGGAGGAGGTTTTCGGCCCCTCCTCGCTCCGCTTCTCTTGCAAGTCGTCACTGGTGGACACAGCGACTTGTAGTGCCGGTGTCCTAGGCTTCTCTCGATCCTTTCGACGGGAAAACCTGAATAAATTGCAACACCCCATTATTGCGGAAGGTATGGAAGGCGAGTATGAAGTAAGGCGAACTGGGAGGGAGAAACAAGATGCAATACAGCCTTGCAGCGACTGTGCCGCATGAAGCATGTGTGCGGGGGCCTACCTCGACATAATTGGCCGTCCACCCACCATCCGATAGCATGCATAGGGAAAGTATGTCGTCGCAAATTGACCAAGGCTGTACTCATCCGATGTAGCATTCGATGATTGGATCAGAAGGGCTTGTACGCCGAAGCGTGCATACATGCCACTGACTTCGGGTGCAGTGGACGCCACCGTCGAAGAGTGCGCCATTTCATTTGTGTCAGATCTTGCGCTGAATTCGGATGCCGTCGCGCGGTGTTGAGGTATTGGAAGTGAACGACGTGGACGCGTCGATGCCGTCTGAGGTTTGTAGCGCGACTTCCTGCCCATCTTATCAGCGACTAGCGGCGATAACGTCATCGATCACCAACACCGAGCCTCACGTATCCCATCCCATCCACACCGAGCCAGCTAATCATCCCGCAACCAAGATGTCGCCCAATTCTTCCACCACAGAGCAGATATCCCAGATCTATACCCCGAATCCCTCCGCCACCGAACCCGCCAACACCCAAGCCGTCATCTCAGCACTCAACCTCCAAGTACACGTCGAAGGCGGCTACTATGCTGAAATCGATCGCAACCCTCTCACCATTCCCAACCCTTTCTTAGTGAAGAACGGCGGCGATGAAGAAGAGGACGTCAAGAATACGGCAGAGAAGCCCATGTCAGGTGACAATGCGATCAGGAACGCGAGCACGAGCATATACTATATGTTGAGCGCAGTGAATCCTCAGGGACACTTTCATCGGAATAAGGGGAGGACGGTATGTGAAAGCCCTATCGTTTAAGAGCTGATACGTGGGTGATGGGAAGAACGGAGTATTGACACTAACCTCGTGTAAAGGTACATACTCTCATCTCTGGACGGGGTCGCTACGTGTTGATTCACGCCGACAAACCCGGCACTAAGAAGCGCATCGAAACGTTCGTGGTTGGGACCGACGTCACGAAAGGAGAGAAGAGTGTGTGGATTGTTGAGGGTGGGAAGTACAAAGCGAGTTTCTTGCTCGACGGAGCGGAAGGGGAGAGGTTGTTGATTAGTGAGGTATGTGCATTCACACATGATCGTTGACCACTTATGTCTGACTAACGCAACTTCTCAGACGGTAATACCCGGCTTCGAGTTCTCGGATCATGACTTCTTAACGATGGACAAGTTCAAGCAGATTGTTACGGATGAACAGGCGAAGGAATTGGAGTGGTTGGTCAGGAAATCGTGAGACCACACCCAATATTAGACGCATCACGTCGGATATGCGGATTCACCTGCAAAAAGCGAATGCGACGCTAATAACCTGCATTGACTACCCAGGTGTGGCGGAACGCGATGTCGCGTCTTCACGTGTGCGTGATGAAATAATGGCGGGGCGCTATCGATAACGGGCAAAATTATCGATATTTCGTCACGCAAACCCACGCTCAGTGAGTCTCTCAGCAACACAACCCAAAATGACTTCAGCATTCGGCCCAATCGCCGGTAATTAGTCGCGCCGATCTACCCATTCATTTTCTAACGTGTGCCTAGAGCAACACCAGGACAAATTCGACCTCGGAATCTGGCACGCGCTCTTCAACTGGAACAACCTCACCGTCGCCGTCCAAAACCAATGGGGCGGCCCCGACTCCTCCGATAAGCGCGACTGGCTCGCAGGCCAAATCTCCGAACTCTTCGCCGCGGAACCCCTCACAGACCAAGAAGATGTGGAAGTGGTCCTACTACAAGTCCTCGAGGACGAGTTCGGCGTGCGCGTAGAAGACGAGACCGAAGTCGCTGTTGCGCGCGAGATCATGGCGATACGGAAGGAGATTGGCGAGGGCAGCACAGCTATGGTGGATGCGCTGCAGAAGAAGTGGGAAGATAGGAAGGGCAAGGAGGTTGCGACTGGGAGTGTCAATGTCAAGGAGACGAATCAGGACTTCGAGGGGGATAGTGTGGATGAGGAGACGGATGAGGATGAGGATGTTGACATGGATGATGCGCCTGCGCTTGTGCCTGCGAAACCGAAGGCTAAGCCTGAGCCTGAGGTCGATGAGGATGGCTTCACGACAGTGGTTGGCAAGAAGAAGAGGTGAAGCGGAAAGGAGAGAGGAGCAGCGATACCAAGCCAGCTGAGGCAGTGAAAGGTGGTAGCAATGATGTGGATGATCACTGCATAGATGGGAATCTATGTATGCACATAACAGACACCGAGCAGCGAGCGCGCACATCAGCAGCAAGTGGCGACGCCATTAGGCCGGTGCGACGGCCATCTATGAGCATATCGGAAGAAGAAGTTCAGACTCAAAATGAATTCATTATCGTCGCGTCAACAGTCTTGACTATTGTTTGTGTAACGCGAGCGTGCCTGAGCTGGTGATGTCCGCCCAACTGCTAGCGGCAATTGCGGAGCTTCATGCATGGCCCCGCCCGCATTTGACCTGCACCCTTGATTGACCCAACCAGCCTGTGTCTCACGACCACAACAACATCCTTAGCCCCCACCCTATACACAACCTCCCCTACACCTCGCTTCCCTTCTGGACAGTCGTAGCTATGGATTCCGCCTACGATCACATCCAGGAGGAGAGCTACCCGCAGGACCCCACCAAGCAGTCCGCCGGCGGAGATAACACCCACCAGGAGACGACCAACAACTTCAACGCCGAGTTCCAGGATGCTTACAAAGCTATATCGAGTAGCCCGTGGGCGGCGCGTCTAGGAGGATTTCTGGGGAATGTGAGGAAGCAGGTAAGACCGGCGTGTGGTATTCAAGCTACGCTTTCTGACCATGTGCGGTGTAGGGCGAGCAATACTACGACAACGCAAGCAAGCAATATGCGCCACAGGTCAAGAACGCCTCCGCCAGCGTCTCCAACATCATCAGCCACGCGCGCAAGATCTCCCTCCAACCCGGCGACGCTTCAAGCTCCAAATCCGCCTCCACCTCCCAAGACGCATCCACCGAGAAAGCGAGCGAAGACACAGAAGCCCACCCCGACCGACCCGAATCCCTCACCGCAGACATTGTAAAGGAGGCAGAAGGCATACTATCGCGCTTCCGCTCCGAAGCCGCCAAACGCCTCAAAGACGTCGAAAAAGCCGAAGACGCCGCAGACGAAGCGCTCCTCAAATTCGGCAGCAACATCCGCAACTTCCTCCGCGACGCCGTCACCATCGCGCCTCCCGAAGCCGGTTCGCAAGCCGCCAAAGACGGCGACGTGCTCTTCGAATCCAAAGATAGCAGCGGCAAGAAGGTCGTTCACGCCACGCGCTTCGACGCCCAACTCCACGTCATCCACTCAACGCTCGATTCCTTCCTCAAAGACCCCGCGAGCCCGGAATGGGAGAACTGGAAGGCGGGATTCGATGTGGAGAAGAAGACGGAGGCTATTGCGAAGGATTTGGAGAAGCACGAGGAGTTGAGGAGCGCGATGGAGAAGTGTGTGCCGGAGAAGGTGGAGTATAAGGTGTTTTGGTGCAGATATTATTTCTTGCGCCATGTTATTGAGAGTGAGGAGCAGAGGCGGAGGGAGATGCTCAAGGGTATGTTGGATCCGTGATCTGGGGGGAAGGATAGTAAAGCTAACGTGTACAACCAGCATCCACACCCGCCGCCGACGAAGAAGTAGCCTGGGACGAAGACTCGGAAGAAGAAGAAGACGACGACGACGACGAAGAAGAAGATGACGACGAAGACGATTCCTCCGAAGAAGACGACTCAGACGACGACTCCGACGACAATGCTACCGTTACCAAACCTACTACTAAATCCGCCACCTCCGCCGCCCCGTCTACTACAACCACAAAACCCGTCTCCTCCACCCCCACAACCAGTACCTCCAAACCAACCCCCGACCTCGCCGCCTCGGTCAAAACCCTCAAACCCACAGACGACGCTAAGCCAGCACCCGCGCAACCCCGCCGATCAAACGATGAAAAGAGCGTGGCTGATAGCGACGCGAGTTATGATTTGGTGTCGGGCACGACGACGAGGGCGCCGGGGAGTCCGCATGATGGGAAGGAGGGGAAAGATGGGAAGGAGAAGGTTGTGCCTGAGGAGAGTGATGAGGAGGAGGACTGGGAGTAGGGGGTTTGGTGAGGGGTTGGAGATGGGTGGAGGAGTAGGGGGTGGAGATGAGATGGGGATGGATATGTGAATATGAATATGAATATGAATGATATGGGGTGTTTTCGGCGCGATGGGATTGTGTGTTTTGGTTATTTGTTGTGTGTTGGGTTGATGGGTATGAGTCTAGGATAGTAAAGTTATGTTAGACATCTTACTTTTTGCTATTCTATTGAAGATCAACGAGGAGTACTCGCTCGCTATGATACGCTAAATCATGATATTTGAAGGTGCATTTTGTGAATGAAAAACAAGTGGTATCTAGAACGCCATTGTGATGCTTGAAATCGCTCGCTCTGTCGGACTGTAACATGAAACAATCTGCACACATTCGCCCATGAAACTCTCCCCTCGTCGAAATCGTGGTCTTATAAGCCCCGAGCACTTCTAACCCGGCCTAGCCACACTACTAGGCGGCGTATCAGGCGGCACACTACCCGTACGCGGTACCGCTGTATTATTGCTTGACCTCCGCGAGAAGTTGGGCTGCTTCATCTGATTGAGATGCTGACCCGGTTGTGTCGTTGCTCGTCGAAGGAGAGGACTTGGCGAGGAGACGTTACCCAGACTATGCCGTCCAGAGAACGAGATATCGGCAGATGAGTTGGACCGATGGCCGGAAGAAGGCATAGGTGTAGAATTGGACACGGTTGGTGTACTACCCCGCGCGCGCGAGTATGGTGAGGAACCGCGCTGACCGATGGGATAGCTATCGTAATCGTAACCCCTACCGTCGTTCGCAGTTGGTGTATCTGTCCAGCCGTCCCGGTCGTGGTCATGCACTTGGTCATGGCCATGTTCGTGTAATTCATGCTCCAGATACTCTTCTCCCCTCCTCTTGATCGGACTCTCGTCGTATGGATCGAAGCCTACTCTCATTCTCGCTTCTCTCCTCACCCGTCGCCGCATTTCCGAGTCGCCACCGGCGCCCACTGTACTGCTATCCGAGAGGAAGAAGTTGAGAAACTCATCTGGAATCGCGAGGTGAGAGGATTGCTGGAATTGCTGGAGAGCAGTCAGGCGGATCAGCATCTCCAGAAGCGAGAGCGACGTCTTGATAGCGGGGAGGGATGTTGGCGCTTGTTGCTGGTATTGTGGTGTGGGCGCAGAAGCCTTTTGCGGCGAGGGAATCATCTGGTTGCTGGAATTCGGTTGGGGGGATGTAGGTGTGCTAGGCCGCAGATTGAGGTTGGAGAAGCGGCCGAGGAAGTCGGGTGGAGTGCGTGTGGCTGCTGGGGATGGGGGAGAAACGTCTTCAGTGAGGTCCTCTGTTTCGTCGATCTCGGAGTCGGTTGTGGGGTCTTCGGTATAGACTTCAAAGGCCATCCATTCGAGATCGAGGGTGGGGGGTAGTCGCCAGGGGTACGTAGGCTGTTCGGGCTCTTGTGGGGTGGGCTCTTGCGGAGCGGGCTCTTCAAGGTGCGGTGTCGACTCGCGTCGCAGCTGCTCTTCCAACTCTGTTTGCTCGGGGTCTTCATCATCAGCAACGGTATGGGAGTCGTCCGACTCATAACCAGGTTCCTCGGTATCGCGCTCCATCATGCGGCGTGGCGGTGCTGCATTCACGTCTCGCTTGAGCAGCAAGATAGGGTTGTTACTTTCATTATCGGAACCGATGTTCAGTATCTTGCCCGTATCGGCGTAGAAGATCTTTGAAACTTCATGTATGGGTATAATCTCACGAACACCGGCTTGCTCGACACCATCATATGGTCCTGGTTGGGGTTCGCCATCTTCAAACTCATGCATACGACCGTCGTCCAAGTCTTCGACGATGAGAAGCTGGTAAGCGAACTCCTGCAACACACTGTCGGATGGGATATGGGGGTGTCTAGCTTCATCAGCGCGTCGACTATCTTGTCCAAACGGTGTCGGATAGTCATAGACATTGTCCAATGGAACTCGCATCAGTGTAACACGCGCCTTGTGCATGACCTCCTTCCATGTTGTCTCTCGCACGTCTTCTTCATGAGCTCTATGCGCGTATCCAGCGAACAACATGTACATGGAGAGTGTGAAAGTGGGACCAATTTGCTGAGCCCTAGGCTTCGATGCGCAATATTGCATGTCGCCCGAAGTGAGGAAGGTGCTGGCTTGTAGAAGTCGTGATGGCGATACAGTAGCCGGGAGCGTAGTTGAGAGACTGGTACCGGATGTAGTGATTGCCAAATTGATCAGCGGCACCGCGTCTTCAATCCGCTCCAGCAGCCTCTTCATCTCTTCGATGATGATCTTGAGCTCGGTATCGTTTTGATCGCGTGACTTTGCTTTAGAGCTGCCTCTTCTTGCAAGCTGCTCTTCAGCGACGGCCTTCTCGACACGACTCCCTAAGGTCTGGATATCCCACCGAAGAGATTTGGTGAGACCCACTGCGGACTCAAGCGAGGTGTTTCCGCGTGCCGCAATCAGTTCGATCATGTCGATTGCTGGCGAGATGATCTTGATCTTGGAGTCGAGTCTAAGTTGCAGAGTAGCGAGTTCCTGCTTTTCTCGACCATCGACCGTCTTCATCAGTCGGCCGCATTGCTTGAGCGCATAGTGGCTGGTGATTGCTATGCCGCTTCGGATAGCATAGCTCATAGCCTGTTGGGTGACCTATCACGTGTTAGCATAATTCAAGAATACGAGAAGATGACTCCCTGTCTGCTATGACGTGTTGGGAGTCAAAGCATAGTCATACCTTTGCTAAGATTGCCTCCATCTTGCCCTATGGGTTGGGCTTCACCCTTGTATGTGCGGAAGGGGCGGTTGATGAAGTGGTTGGGGGAGAGGAACCATGAGGTCAGATATCAGGTTGCTGGGGAACGCAACCGGGATTAAGTGCGGCAAGTGACGACAAAGTGAATGTTTGAGGCTGGTGAGTGCCTTTGTTGCTGGGCGCCCTGGCCAATGTTAGGCAGCGAGGCGTTGAGTCAGCCCCACACAGCCACCCAAAGCAACCCCGCCAAATCCTGCGTGGGCAGCAGCGACCCGGCACATTTTCACTTTTCGCCGACGACACTCGACGCCCGTCCGCTTATATACCTGATAGTCGCTCCCTGGCCGCGGGTCGACTTCACGCATTCTCCAATTTACGAGCGACTCGACCGCACAAAATTCGCACGCCGTCGCACTACACCACCCCGACGACACGACCCATCCCCGCGAGACCGACGTCACCATGGCCGACAGCTGGGAGCAAGAGGAGGAGCGCCTCGCGCAGCAGGCGCAGGGCATGAACCTCAACAACACGCCCACGTTCACACCAGGCGCCCAGACATTCACGCCCGGCGCCAGCACATTCGTCCCCGGCCAAGCCTACGGAGGCTACCAGGGCTACAACCAGTACGGCCAGCAGCAATATGGCGGGTACAACCAATACGGTGGCCAGCAATACGGTGGCTACCAACAGCAGCAAGGCTACCCGCAATACGGGCAGCAATACGGCGGCCAGCAAGGAGGATACCCCAACTACGGACAACAATACCCCCAGCAACAAAACTTCCAGCCCCAGCAGGCGCAGCAAGGCCAGGCGCCCGTACGGATAGCGAAGCGAGGCGACACCGATATGGCTGGCTCAGAGGGTGCCGCACCCGCCGAGGCTAAGAAGGAGGCGCCCAAGGCAAAGGTTCTCTCGATTGGTGGCGACAGCGCGCCCAAGGCAAAGGTCCTCTCCATCGGAGGCGACACCACAACACCAAAGGTCGAGAAGGCAGGCGGCACCAAGGTCCTGAGCCTGGGCACCCCCGCCGCTCCATCGGCAGCGAAGGAGAAGGCAGACAAGGAGAAGGGCACCGCTGAGGCCGGCACCAAGGTCACCGCTGCAAAGGCCATTGAGAAGACTGGAGAGCCTACCCCGGCGTCTGGAGGCTCTGGCAGGACCTCGCCAACACCCTCCTCTGGCCGCAACAGCCCGACACCGAAGGAGAAGGCTGCCGAGAAGGCCAAGGCACAGGATGTCGAGAAGGAAATGGACGAAGTCGTTGACGAGGCCACCCTTGCCGAGATTTACGGAAAAGAGCACGTCAACATCATCTTCTTGGGTCACGTTGACGCAGGAAAGTCCACCCTCGGCGGAAGTATTCTCATTTCCACCGGCATGGTCGACGAGCGTACACTCGACAAGTACAAGAAGGAAGCCAAGGACGCTGGTCGTGAAACATGGTACATCTCGTGGGCGCTTGACTTGAACAAGGAAGAGCGACAGCAGGGCAAGACTATCGAAGTCGGCCGAGGTTTCTTCGAGACGGAGAAGCGACGATACTCCATTCTGGACGCGCCTGGCCACAAGACATACGTACCGAACATGATCAGTGGAGCCTCGCAGGCCGACGTTGGTATCCTCGTCATCTCTGGACGTAAGGGAGAATACGAGACAGGTTTCGAGAAGGGCGGACAAACCCGAGAGCACGCTATGTTGGCCAAGACACAGGGTGTCAACAAGATCCTCATCGTCGTCAACAAGATGGACGACCCTACTGTTGAGTGGTCAGAGGACCGTTTCAAGGAGTGCACCAGCAAGGTGGTCATGTTCTTGAAGGGTCTCGGATACAACCCCAAGACAGACATCAGCATGATGCCAGTCAGCGCACAAACATTCACAGGTATCAAGACCCGTGTGCCCAAGGACCTGGCTCCCTGGTACGACGGCCCATCTCTGCTCGAATACCTAGACAACATGCAAGCGCTCGAGCGTAAGCTCAACGCGCCTTTCATGATGCCCATTGCTGCCAAGTACAAGGACATGGGTACCATGATTGAAGGCAAGATCGAGTCTGGTATCATCAAGAAGGAACAGAAGTGAGTTACTGTATTACCAGCACGATCTGCGATGTACTAATGATATCAGGTATCTCATGATGCCCAACCGACAAACCATCCACATTTCCGCTTTGTACGGCGAACAAGAAGAGGAAATCCCAGGCGCCACATGCGGAGACCAGATCCGTGTGAGGCTTCGGGGTGTTGAGGAGGAGGACATTCTGCCTGTATGATAACCCGGATGCTGTTCTTTGATCGCTTGCTAACTCCGATGTTCAGGGATACGTGCTGTGCTCACCAAAGCGCCCCGTCCACTGTGTCTCCCAGTTCGAGGCCCAGGTCGTGCTGCTCGACATCAAGTCTATTCTAACAGCCGGATTCAACTGCGTGCTCCACGTCCATGCCGCACAAGAAGAGGTTACCATCACCGCGCTACTGCACAAGCTGGAGAAGGGTACTGGACGGAAATCGAAGAAGGCACCAGGATTCGCTACCAAGGGTATGAGCATCATCGCGCGCTTGCAAATCACCGGTACCGCCGGAAACATCTGTGTCGAGCGGTTCGAGGACTACCCACAGCTCGGACGTTTCACTCTCCGTGACCAAGGTCAGACGATCGCTATCGGCAAGATCACCAAGCTCATCACCGACGAGGCTTAAATGGTCGATTAAAGTACGCATGATCATTCCAAGAGAAGGCAGAGGAGGAGCAGGATATCCGTTTTGACGAAAAGCTGTCGCCATTGAGGCAACATAGCCTGAGGTTCCACGGCGTTTGGACGCAAGGGTAGCATAGACCGAGCATCCAAACAATATGATGACGAATATTCTTCCGATTTTCCTTATCGAAGTTCATGTGTGTGATGCTTTGCGACTGTACATGTGTGGTTCTCAGTGCTCGGAGATAGGCGTCGCGGGACAACTGTGAGACAAGCCTTTTAGTGCTGCAATCAACAGCAACCTTAATTGACCTTCCAAGTCAGGAAGTTTGATGCATGTGCATGAAGGGCTAGCAAGACGCACATGCAGAAGTCCATGACGTCACGCCGCGTCTTCCAGTGAATGAGCCTCGTCGCGTGACAATCGCGATAGCCATGGACAGCAAGGCTATGCTTACGTCATCCACTCCCGCGGCCAAAGTTCGCGTCCGTCACTCACGCAACAAACCTCACCACCACCACGAACCTGCGCACGCTGCGCAAACCTCCCTCCCCCACCCGCCACGATGCAGGGCTTCAACATGGGGCGGTACTACCCGCCCGACGCCTCGAACCCACCCAGATTCAACAACTCCTCGCACCCTCTCGGCAAACGCGCCAACAAGATCACCCAAGGCATCCTAACCGTCCGCTTCGAACTCCCCTTCGCCGTATGGTGCAACCACTGCACCCCACCCGCCATCATCGGCCAAGGCGTCCGTTTCAACGCCGAAAAGAAGAAAGTAGGAAACTACCACACCACACCAATATGGAGTTTCCGCATGAAGCACAGCGCGTGCGGCGGGTGTTGGGAAATCCGGACCGACCCGCAGAACAGTGAATACGTCGTCGTTGAGGGTGCGCGACGGCGCGACTATGGACCTACTGCCAAGGACGATACGGCGGATGGCGACCTGAAGTTCCTGACAGAGGAGGAGAGGCAGAAGAGGCGGGACGATGCTTTTGCGAATCTAGAAGGCAAAATGGAGGATAAAGGGATTGAGAAGAAGAATAGGGAGCGGGTGGAGGAGTTGTATGATAAAGCGGAGGTTTGGCGGGATCCGTATGATGTCAATGCGAAATTGAGGGAAGTGTTCCGGGGGAAGAGGAAGGTGTGGAAGAGGGAGGATAGGCATAAGGAGGGTATGCAGGAGAAGTTTAGTTTGGGGTTGGATATTGTGGATGAGATCGAGGCGGATAGGACGAGGGCTGGGCTTGTGGAGTTTGGCGCTAAGGATGTGGGTGAGGGGAGGTCGTTGGAGGGGTTATCGTGGAAGCCGCTGTTTGGGGAGGCGGAGGTGGGGGATGTGAAGGCTGTGGAGTCGGCGAGGAAGACGAAGAAGCTTAAGGCGGAAGTTGCGAAAGAGAAGTCGAGGCTGGGGTTGCAGCAGACTTTAGTCGGGAACACGAGGGCGGTGGTTGATCCGTTCTTAAACAAGGAGGCTCCAGTGACACCGAGAATCAATCTTGGCATATTGAAGAGGAAGAGAGACGCTGAAACGAAGGACCCAGTTGCGATATCGTCGCCATCGGGTCGACAGAAGGAGAAGACGGACAACGCGGCGCCGACGAAGAAGCCGGCCTTGCCTGGGGCCTTGGTGGGTTACGACTCGGATTGATCGCACGCCTACGCATTGATTGACGACCGACCCACGACACTGTTCTTGTATTTACTGGCGTTTGGGTGAAGGAGCATACGATACCCCCATTTCATTTCCATTTACTATCAGCAATTCACGCATACTGGTCTTCTGCTGCTGGCCGGCTTTCACACGTACCGCAGTCAGAATGGCTTCACACAATGGCATCAGCTCACGTTCACTATTGCAGTCGCCTGATCGCTGTTCATCTAACACGATTTCGAAGATCCCTCAATGGCCTTGAATCCTGGTACAACCCTGAAAGTTACACTCGCCAATCTTCCACATCGTCAGCATCTGGCCAATATCAAATCCTTGGCAATCATGAGTTCAACACAAACCCACGATGATGACACACTACAGGTCAATACTGGGCACTCACCCAGGGGTATCGGGGATCTACCACCAGAACTGCTTCTGAAAGTTGCCGACTTCGCTGCAGTCACCGATGCGAACTCCAAGAAAGTTCTCTGCAAGCTCTGTCTAGTCAAGCCTCTCAACCCAACCGCGACGGAAGCGCTTTACGCCAACATTCATGCCGGTGCCGACTTCAATCCGGTCCTTCTCATACGAACCCTCCTCAGCCATCCCTCTCTCGCCGCCCTGGTGCGCTCGCTCAAGCTAAATGCAGTCTGGAACGGGTATCGGAACCAGAAGTACCGGATAGCAGTATTAAACAGCGATGACCCCAACACCCCTCCAGTAACCCTCGAAGACTTGCAGGGTTTAACTACAGATCCCGTTGTAAAACGGCTACTGCAAGCTCCAGATGTTCACTTCGGGGCTGCAGCGTGTGCATTACTATATCTCCACACACCAAACATACATACCCTGAAATATGCCGTGGAAGGCCACTACCGCAAACTCAAGCTCCCAGAGCTCTCCATCATGGTATCCACGCGACCATGGGAAATTCCCTTTCTACCCAGCCCGCTCTTGCAGACACCATCAAACTACAACCTCCTCAAAAACGTCACCATACGAACCCCCCACATGGACATCGACCGCATCGCAAAGCTCCTCCAACTACCCAACCTACACCAACTAGAAGTCTGGAACCTCCGCGAACTCCAACCACGTCACTCCTGGCACTGGGACGCCAATTTATTCCCCGACCACACATCCACCGTCCGCCATCTCACTCTGCGCGGCGGCTACCTCCACGTCGATGTCTTGAGTCTGGTGATACGGTGCTGCAAGTCGCTGTCGCACTTTGCTTACCACATGGCACGGAATCATAACCATAGGTTCCAGCTGTGGACTAAGTTCGATAGGCCAACGACTATTAATTTTGGGGATGTTGTTGACGCGCTGAGGAAACATCGGGAGACGCTAAGGCATCTGGCGCTGTATAATACGGGGGCGACGGATAGACGTGTGGCTCCGAACTGGATTCCCGCGTCACTTGCTGACTTGTACAAGCTTGAGAATCTGTGTGTAGACGCTAGTGTTGTCTTCGGCCGGTACTCATGGGGTAGGCTGAAAGATTTACTTCCCGCTTCGCTCAAGCGACTGCATCTACTGCATACGTGGTACGACTTAATGACAGACTGTGTGTTTGTCAGTGGTGCGTTGTATAAGATGTATGACAGATACCTTTTTCCGAGCTTGAGCTTCGTGGAGATGGAGGTGAACAGGGAGTTTTGGCGTTGGGCGGAGGAAACGGAAAAGGAAGATGAGGGGTTTGTGTATAGGGCGTCGGCTGTTAAGGCGTTGAGGGAGAAGGGGGTTAGAGCTGTGTATAGGAATAGGGAGGATGGGGAGGGTGAGTGGGGGGTTGTTCGGGGGTGGGCGGGGGAGTGATGGTCGTGAGGTTTCTCGAGTTGACGTTGAGTATGCTCCGGGTTTATACACTGCTTTATGCTTTACTGCTCTAGGCTTCGTTTAGTATCTTTACGCTCCCCGTCGAGCGCTGCAACACATTGCATTCTCAGATTTGCTTACCGTCGGTGAAAGTGAAAGCACTGATGGCTCCTTCCCCTTTGGTATCTCACCAGAAGATTCTGCGGACTTCTGTGTCACAGTACGTCATGAGAGCCCGAGCTCAGCAGGCACGAGATTCGCCACCCGCCAGTATATAATCTGCTTGTCCCCCGTCCCCACTCCTCTGACACCACTCACGCTATTGCCCTAAATGGGATTAGCACATCTTTGCCGCATCTCTGTGCTCCACCTGACATCCCGCTTGTTTAGTCGGCTGCAAGTGCGAATTAACGTTCGCGACCTTTGGGGAGGATCGATTACATACTTACCACTTTGTTCAACATTCCATCACCAGGGGCAGCCACGGCGCCGGCCACCGTTTTTGTTCCGAGGACGGTGGCTGAACTTTTTTTTTGTAAGTTCAACTTTACCCACTTCTTCCTCTTGCGAGATGCTAACAGCTTCACATGACACAACGTCGACTTTCGCTATTGTCGCTGCTGGCGATCGCCTCATGGGTGTGAGTGACGGCGCGGGTAAGTTTTGACTGCATGAGCGGTACTAGACTGCTACATGTTCTCCTCACACTCTTTTTGTGGTCGATACATGACACCTAGGAAGTAGTCGCAGTGATTTTATACAGTGAAGATCATGGTCATGTGTCCATGTCTCCGCCTAACATCGTTGTGGAGTAAACACGCACGCCTTTCAAGGTTTATGTAGAAGCCTGCTGATTCATATTCGTCATGTCGATCTGGCTACTCGCTGCCTATTTCGGACGTGACTGCTAAGGTAGTGTGGCACATCCTGGGATGGCTACTGTATTCGTGAACGAAGTCGACGACCCGCGGGTCATGGTAGACCTTGATAGAGCGCTCAAGGGGTGAGTTCTCGAGAGTGTTACCGACGCGGCTCTCACCTTTGGATTCGACGACGAACAGAACTTGAAGATGGTCGCCACCCAAGACAACTAGGCCCACGTCCAGGAACCATTCCGTGGTCAGAATCAGCATCAAAGACGCCTCAGTAGCTTGCGAGGCCTCATCGAAAAGGACCATATTGAACTTGTCTACATCTGCCAGCCCTGGAATACGCTGAACGACCTTGTGCTGGGAAGCTGCGGAGGTAGCGGCGACTAGACGAGGCTCGAGAATGCATGTCTTCATGAGCTCCTAAATGGCTGAGCCGCGAGACATTGTAGCGCCAGCGACCTTCGGCTGACCGGTCTGGAATTTGCGCTTCTTCTCGGCCTTCGCGTTGGCGTACTTGGTGTGGGCGAGGCATGACTCCTCATTCGGGTTGGCGCGAGCGTACTTTGCCATCTTGTGCGCGGAGCAGTTGGGAATGCTGGACAGGAGGACAGAGCTCATCAGTCCATCGAAGTTGTCGTCATCGTCGCAGGCATCGTCCCAGTGACGATCGAGTTCCTTGAGGAACGCTTCATCGACAATGCCAGCTCCCACGCGACGCAAAATGCCCTCCTCGATCTATTGAAGGCGGTCTTTCCGAGCCTTTTTGGCGACCTTCTCGGAAATTGCGTTAACGTTATGGTAGGAATGGCCGCTAGTGAAGGCGTGGTAGCAGTTAGCTATCGCGATATTATGCCGTGCCAGAAGACTACAAGGATCTTTGTGTGTGTTGAGGTAGATGGGAAGGTTGGGCTGGGTAGCTACAAGCTCGACTCAACATTGTGAGATCTATGCCATGTCAATGCGAGGCAAGTACATTGGTGCCAAAACTGAAGTTTAAATCAGTAAGTTCGCTGTGAATATCTCTTGGTTGCTCTGTAGTTATAACGAAAATGATCATACGATGCTACATACCAACCCAGCAGAAATGACTGCACGATTACTTGCATCAACCATGAAGATACATAGGGAAATAAAGAGAACATGTCCCAGTCCAATTCCACCGTTCCGCCCAATACACCGTCGCAGCGCCATCTCACCAAGCGCACCCCAACACCACAACCTACACCCCACCCAACCCCAACTTCCCCACAACACCATCCACCAACCCCCCAATACTCGCACTCTGCAAAATCTCAAACACACTAACCGCCGCCTTCGTCTCCCTCTGAATCCAGTTCTTCATCTCAACAGCTACCAGTGAGTCCGTCCCGTAGCTGCTCATCGAACGCGTAGCATCGAGTTCCGATACATCCATCATCAGACTGCGCGACAACTTCTTGAGCAGCGCTGCGAGGATGAACTCCTTCGCTGCCTCCGCAGATGGACAGGAAGAGAGCTGCGCGGAGAGCGATAGCGCTGTAGTCGTCGTACCATCATCTGACGTCTGAGCAGGCGCATCGATCTTGAGATGCGGGCGCAGGTACGGCAAGTGACTCAACACGGGATCTCGCGCGAAGAACGGCGCTTCTCCATCATCCAGGCTGCTAATGTCGGGGTCGGAGTCGAGACCCGTGACGACATGCCCCATCATCGGATTCCGTATGCCCAGCTCGATGAGCGCCAACATCTCCTTCTCCTGGATATGTTTGAACTCCTGGACTTGCACTTTGCGCCCTTGAACTTTCTTTTCGACGACATAGCCCACGTCGCCGACAATACCCAGATCGATGGCTGTAGCTGGCAGACCGAGCGCATTGCGGTATCTGCCCAACGCGACTTGGTAGGCGCAGCCTGCGGCGTAGTTGGACTGACCCGGGTTGCCGATGAAGGAGTGGAGAGAGGAGAGGAGGACGAAGAAATCGAGGGGCTGGGATAAGGTTGTCTCGTGCAGGTTCTTCGAGCCGTGGACCTTGGGGAGGATAGTTGAAGTCCATTGATGTGACGTCATTGTGTTGAAGAGGGAGTCGTTGAGGGTCATCGCGCCTTGTATTACACCCTTGATCGGTGGGAAGGACCGCAAGGTCTCGGAAAGCAGATTGGATAGCTCGAGTGCGTCGGATACATCACACTTCAAAATGGCAGTGCGGACTCCCGAGGCGTGAAGGGATTCGAGGAACGCTTGGGCTTCTTCTGACACTGCGCCGAATCGAGAGATGAATATGAGGTGTTTTGCGCCGTGGGTGACGAGCCATTGCGAGATGCTTCGTCCGAGACCGCCGAGACCGCCAGCGAGGAGGTAGGAAGCTGATGGATCGAAAGAGATAGCGGGTGGTGGTCTCTGGGCAACCTGAAACTCGTTAGTCGAATCTTCGACGTTGATACATGAATGGTGACTTACAAGAACTTGGTCGTTAGCCTGCGGTACCATTACCACCTGCTTATCCTGACTCGCATCTTGCAACGTCTTGACAGCCTCGTTCAGCTTCGACCAAGGTAGGATCTCCATGGCGCTAGGATCTGGCGTCTTCATCTCGGTGGCAGCGCTCATAGCCTCTTGGAATATTCGACTCGCAAGCTTGGGCTTCTGCGTATACAGCAACGCCATATCGACTGATGAGAAGGATGCGTTGCGGCCGAAAGGTGCCATTTCCAGTCGGCCAGTCCCTAGTGCATTGAGGTTTACAAATCTGCCAAATGGCGCGATGCAGCTGAAAGTCGCTTGTAATGCCTCGCCGGTCAAGGTGTTCGAGATAACATCAACACCCCGGCCTTTGGTCGCTCGCCGCAGTGCTGGAACAAACTTGAGATCGAGGCTAGAGAAGATACGGGCGTCTTCGATGCCATAAGTCTTGGTGAGGTAGCTCTTCTCTTCGTCGGATCGCACGGTAGCAAAGATCTTTGCGCCCGCCTTCGAGGCCGTCTCGATACTAGCCTGGCCAACAGCGTCCGCGGCCTCGTGGATGAGAACAGTTTCTCCGGATCGTAGATGCGCAATGTGGTTGAGCGCATAGTGAGCGGTCGCATGCGCCTGAGGTAACGTAGCCGCGACTTCAAAAGTCATGCCATTGGGAATCGTGTGCGCAAAGGCTGCTGGCACGCGCACATGGGTGGCGAACGTGCCTGGATACCATGCTACCACTCGATCGCTAACCGAAAAGTCCAACACTCCATGGCCAAGATTTGTGATGACACCCGCACACTCTTGTCCAAGCTTGCTATCGTATTCATCTCCATCCAGCATCTCGACGTCGCTTGAGCTGAGACTCGTAGCGCGAACCTCAATTTCGACTTCGTCAGCTTTAATAGGTTGCGCAAAGCGCACATCCTCTTCGAAGACGGCCACGTCTGATGCGCCTTTGTTGACATTGCTGAGCTTCAGCGGACGACCATTCTGAAGCACGTTCTCCATCTGCGGCCGCAAAGCCGTCGCATTAGTCCGACCAACCAGGAACTCATTCGACTTCTCATCTTCAATCGCACGCTTGATGTGAAGAATGCCGTCCTGCTCCACGAATTCGCTATCGACTAGACCCGCGCTCTCCTCAGTACCG